GAGGCTGAACTGGCTCGAGGACAGGTCGGCCACTGCGGTTCCGCCGTTTGCCTCGAACTCGATGCCCAGGCTGCCGCCCCGCAGCGTCAAGAAATCGGCTCCGTTGGCCGATTCGCTCTTCGAGTAGCAGTCACAGGTCAGCTGCACCGTGGCGGAGTTGCCGAGGATCAGGTTCGCTCCCAGGGGCGCCTGGGGCAGCAACGCCCTTATCATTCTGGGCGTGAAATTGTCGAGCACCATAGGAATGATGCCTCCCCCACCGGCGTTGCCGTTGACCACGTGGTAGCGGGAGTCGAGAGGTGTGTAGTCGGTGTTGGAGAAGTATCTCCCGTCGCTTTCGCTCTTCGAGTAGCAGTCGCAGGTCAGTTGCACCGTGGCGGAGTTGCCGAGGATGAGGTTCGCTCCCAGGGGCGCCTGGGGCAGCAGCGCCCTTATCATTCTGGGCGTGAAGTTGTCGAGCACCATAGGGATGATGCCTCCGCCTCCGGCGTTGCCGTTGACGGGATGATACCGGGCATCGCCCTGCACTTCGGTGAGGAGCCCAGAGGAGCTGATCTGGCTCGCGATCTCCGCCGAGGTCTCGCCCTGGTCCCAGTAGTTAGTGAGCTCCGAGGCGATGGAGCTGTCGATGTCGGCTTGCATGGCATACTGCGAAACGTTCAGGGCGTCCACGGCACTCGAGATCTGCGCGTTCACTTCCGCCTGCGTGTACGTCTGGCTCTGGTCGTAGGCCTGGCACTCGATCTGCAGCGTGTTGCCCGAGTTCTGGAGCGTGGCCACCAGGGGCCCGGTGAAGTGCAGGTTCCGCAGGGCCTGCCCGGCGAGGAGCTCCCAGGTGGTGTTCCCGCTCCAGGCGGGTGCGTTGGAAATAGCTGCGCCCGCAATGAGGGCGTCCACTTGCGCGGAGTCGTAGTAGGACGCGAGTGCTATAGCGATCTCGTTCAGGATGGGCGCCTGAAGCCCGGTCCACGGCACGTATGCGCTCAGGTCGATGCCGCCCACGGCCGTAGCAATCGCTGCATCCGTCTGGGCCGAGTCGTAGTAGGCCGCCAGCGCTGCAGTGATTGCTGCATTGGTTTCCCCGGAGTCGTAATAGCTGCCCAGGTGGCCAGCACCCAGGACTCGCTGGCCAGGGGGGCCAGCAGGGCATTGACCTCTCCCTGCGTGTACGCGTCGCAGGCCAGGCTCAGCGTGAAGTTGTCGTTCTCGAGGGTGACGCTCAGGGGCGCATTGAAGTGCCAGTTGCGGATGGTGTTGGTGCCCAACAGGAGGTCCCAGGTCGTCTGCCCGGGCCACGCCTGGGCGTTGGCGAGGTTCGTGCCCCCGCCGGTGGTGAGCGCAGCCAGCGCCGAGTTGAGCGCGTCGATGGCAGACTGCAGGCTTGTCTCGGAAGCCGAGAGGTCCGCCGCCGTCGCAAAAGGCCCCGCTGCCTGCAGCACCGCCAGGGCCGCCTCGGCGGCGTCGAGCCTCCCGTCTCGGACGGCCAGGGCGGCGTCCAGGGCCGCCTGCTGCACGAAAGGAAGAAGGGCCGTGGCGATGAGCTGCGAGACATCTGCGGGTGTGGTGCGCAGGGCCACTGTGCTGCTGAGGTCGGTGGTCGTGGGCCGGTCCAAAAGAGCCGTCGCTATTTTCTGGTCGACGTCCGCGGCTGTTTGCCGGGCCGCCACGTCGAGGGCCAGCTGGTCCTGCGTGCTCTTCAGCCCATAGGTGCTCGCGACCTGCGCGAGCACGGCGTTGTCGGCACTGGTGATGGCCGAGTTCATGGATGCGTTAGTGGGATGGTTGGCTAGCTTGAGGTCCACGGAGGCGGGCGTGCTCTTGGAGTTCACGTCCAGCTGCAGCGCGTCGAGGGCGCTTTGGTTCGCTTTCCCCGCCAGACCCGTGGTGAGGCTGGTGCTGAGAGTGGTTATGGAAGAAGCGTTGCCGGCGATGAGGCCCTCGGCGGCTGCCAAGTCAGCTGCCAAAGCGTAAGGGGTCAAATCGGGCGGTGCCGGGATGGCTGCCACCTGGGCCTGCAGTGCCGCGACGGCGGACGAGTTGGTCCCGATGGATGCGGTGTTGGCAGCGGTGTCTGTGAGGGGTGTGTAGGCCGTGAGGACCGTTGCGAGCTGCCCCGCAGAGATCCCCTGCATCTCGATGGTGGTGATGGGGGTCTGGCCATCGTTGAGGATGTTGCCGGTGATGGTCGACTCAAAAAGACTCATGTTTTACTAGTCGAGGGAACTGACCCCAGCTCCTGAGAGCGTCACGAGCTGGTAGGAGAGCATGTGCACGAAGCACTGGTCCACGCGCTCCGCCTCCATGTTGCTGAAGCTGAAGCGACAGAGGTCGCCGGAGCGGGTCGAGATGCCCGAGAGCGGATGCTTGGGCACTCGTTCCACCGGGAAGGCCGCGATGAACTGCGTGTTCCCGTAGAGGTTGTCCCGGATGCGCATGTTGCGAAGCTTGGAGTCATAGGTGCCCGCCAGGATCTCCAAAAAGTGGTGCCATTCGGCGATGCTCTCGTTGGCCGTCCTAGGATATTGCAACGCACCCAGCTGCAGCTGGCCCTTGAGGTTCCGATTCGCATTCGCTCCAGGGTACTCGAAATTGTCCACGTGGTCCTCCGTGGTCTTGTTGAACGTCACAAAGGCGCCGAGCAATTTCGTAAATGCCCGTGCTATTGTAGTATTGTAGCTGGTGGACCCTGCGGGGATGCTGGAGAGCTGCGTGTGCATCGTCGGGAAGCTGAAAACCAGGCTGCGGCCGCTGGTCATGATCCTCTGGAAACTCTCGCGAAGGGCGGAGTCGAGGGTCACCTGGGAGGCGTAGAGCTTCACGTTCTCGATGGTGTACTCCTGGCTCCCGCTGACGTTGCGGGCCCCGTCGGTGGGGTCGCAGAAGGTGATTTGAAGAACAAGGCCGAGCTCGGGGGGCAACATTTTGCCGCAGTTGAAGATCCCGATGAGGTGCGGGCTCATGAGCACGGTGCGGGAGCCCGAGGCCGGGATCTCCTCGGCGTGGCCCCCGCCGTCCGCCAGGAAGCCCTGGATGTGCCGGTTCAGCCACCACTCCTCGTTCTTCAGGAGGCTGTAGAGGTACGAGCAGCGGTTGTAATAGGAGATGTCCTCGATGCGAGTGCCGTTCGCGAAGACCTCGATGCGGTCGATGAGACAGCTCGGGTCCGGCGAGGCGAGCTGCAGCGTCGCCGTGGTGGAGGTGTTGCGCACCGTGAAGCCGAGCTTGACGCTCTCGCCGTCCACGAAGTCCATGCCGCTGGTCAGCGGGATGCGGCGCACGCGGCTCGTGGTCGGCGTGAAGACGCTCAGGGAGCTCGGGTAGTACTGGACGTCTTTGCGGCTCTGCACATAGTTAACGTTGGAGGTCTCCAACCGAAACGACAAAGACTGGATCAGCTCATCATTTACGGCAGCAGTTACCTGCTCCATACTGTTTACTTGTAGCGAAAGATTCACGCGGCCTCCGGCTCGCTCGCGCTTCGAAGCGCCTCGAACGACGGGGGCGGTGCGGCGCGGGACGGCCTCTGCGTGCGAGGCCCGCGGGAGGACTCGCTGCCCGAGGACTGCGCCAAGGGAGCGGGGTTCAAGCCCGTGGGGAAGCGCGTGGGCCTCGCGGGGCGAGCCTGCACTCGCGGGGGCGGCTGGGCCCGCGGCTCCGATTCGCTGTCGGTGTCCATGCGGTAAAACTGCGGGCGTTGCCGTGAGGCCTGTGGCTCCCGGAGCTGGAAGTGCTGCTCCGCCCCAAACTCCTGCATCCCATTCAAGGTCTGGATGTCGGGGGCCGAGCTGGGTCGGGAGGCGTCCGTGTCGGTTCCTCCGCCTCCACCCCAGCCCAAAAGGTGCTCTGCCGCCACCATGCCGCCGTGCAGTGCGCGCCCGGACCCGCTGCGGCCTCTGCAGCACCTGCCGCTTCTGCAGCCCCCGCAGCCATTTCTGCGGTGGAAGCGAAGCCCTCGGTCGCCTCCACCTCGGCCACCTGCTCGCTCATGAACTGCTCGATGTCTCGGGCTGCCGCCCTCTCCACCTCCTGGGCTCGCTGTCCCGCCCGCTCCAGAAGCGGCTCCACTTCACTTGGCCGGCCGATGATTTGGGGTGGAGCTACTTCGTCGGGCGGGGGCGCGAGGCCCTCGGGCGTGCGCGGAATGCGTAGGTTCCGGTCGATCCAGTTCCTTCCCCTGCGCGCTGCGTTGTATAGGTCTTGTCCGTGCCCCGCAATGGCAGAGGCAGAGCCCGCCAGTCCAGCTGCAGCTCCCGCAGCGGCTTCAGCCTGCTGCATCCGGCTGAGGAAGCTTGGCGGTGCTGGGGGCTGAAACCCGTCGTTTCTTAGAGCCTGCCCGGGGTCCACGGCCCCAAAATCCGGTTCGCTGTCCATGTCAAAGGGCCGTGGGCGCAAAAAATCCCGGCGGGGGAAGGGCACTCCATCGTAGCCCTCGTTGGCATCCTCGTAGGCTGCTGCAGGGTTCACGGTCGTGTGGGGCAGCGGGGCTGGCTCGGGCTCGGAGCTCTGGGGATAGTCGTCCAGCCAGAAGTGGCTGGAAGTCAGGATGCTGGCATTGCGGTTTGGGAGGTCGATGGGCAAGGGCTCGCCCTCAGCGATGTAGCCCAGGACCTGTGAGTATGACGGCCGTACGCGGAAGCCGTGCGCACGCCGCTCCTCCATCTTTACATGAGGCCGCCATAAACCGCAGAGTCGCTAGTGTTGCGCCCGGCAGCCACGTCGCGGGCCACGCGACGCACGCCCGCCCGCTCGGCGGGGGCCCACCTCAACTGGGGGATCCTCCTGTTAACGGCGTCGACTGCACGCCCCACTTCATCCGTATAGGCCTCGCCTTCCTGGCGCTGCCGCCGGTTGGCCAGCCACTCGTTGAAGGCCCGAGCATCGATCAATTGCTGCTGCCGCTTGTAGAGCAGCGGCGTCAAGTTGTAGCTGGGATACTGCTTGTGAAACGCCCGCAGCATCGCGGCCTCATTGCGCCGCTCGGGGAAGGGCATCATCTCTTTTTACAAGTCCATTGTGTTTGCGAGCAGGAGCTCATGGAAGCGGTCGGCTCGCGAGAGCTGCCGGGCGCGGCGAGCCTCCGAGGGCGTCATACGCACGGGTTGCTGGGGCTCAGGCGGGGGCTCTTGTGCTCGCTCCTGGTGGGGCTCTTGCTGCGGCTCCGGTGTCGGCGACTCAGCATGCTTCGGAAGCTCCGCCACGGCCACAGTCGGGGGCGGCTTTGGCTTGTTCTTCGAACCTGGCGGTCGCCCTCGCCGTTTGGGTTGGGGCGCTTCCTGAGGAACCTCGGTCGGCGGCTCGGCCACCGCGGCAGGCTCGGCAGGCTCGGGAGGCTCGGCCACCACCGGCTGCGCGGGAGGCTCGGCCACGGCGGGCTCGGTGGCCACCACCGGCTGCGCAGGAGCGGGTTCATCCTCAGCCATTTTCTTTTCCAATTATTTTTTTTATCGTTCGGTGTCGAGGAAAACCACAAAGGAAATGCTGGTGCCTCGAGTGTTCACGATGTTGCCCTGGTAGTCGGTGAGCTTGAAGCGCCACTGACGCAGGGTTATGGGCCCGTGCAGCTGAACCCAGTGCCCCTCTGACGTCTCGGTCTCCATGACGTGGCCCACGCCTTTCGAAACGACGATCTTGCAGAGGATGTCGTGCCCCAACGGGCCCACCGTCGTCTCCCCGTTGGCCAGTGTTGGGCACCTGAGGTACAGTTCTGAGAACGGATTCACCGTCACAAAGACGAAGCGCTGCACAGAGCCTGTGAGGTAGCTGGGGCCGAGGAGGTGGTTGATGGACAGGGGCTTGCTGGGCGAGGCGCCCGGCGGGTAGGGGGCCGTGCCTGGGAAGCGTTGCCGGAGCTCGGCATCGTTGAGGATGAGGCGCACGCCGTCGTAGGTCACGTCGAGCTCATTTGTCTCGGCGGTGTAGCTGGCGGAAGCGAAGTTGCTGCTGATCCACGCAGCCAATCGCGGCCCTGTGTACGCCCCCACCGGGAGCTCCGCGTAATGCAGGGTGCCGGCGACCGTGTCCTCCCAGTACAAGAACGTCCCGCGGTCCGTGCTCAAAAAGGCGTCAGCAACGCGGACCTTGTACACCGCAAGTTTGGCGCCGGATTGAATGTGCACACTCTCACCGATGTCGAAGGAGAAGCTGCTGTCCGTGCCCTCCGCGCGGAGGCGCGAGTCCACGTAGATACTCGTCATGCCCTTTTTAGAACGGCGCCTGAAAAACCGGGTGGGCCGCACCGAGAACTCGCTGGCGTTGGAGCCGTCGGAGGTTTGCCGGGGCCTGTCTGGTGGGGGCCAGTGGCTGGGGTCGTAGATGCCCTGCGTGCTGGTGCAGCACCTTATGTTGCTGCACTCACTTTCGCACATCGGGCCTCCCCCCAACAACTTGGCCGCCATCTGGCTCAGGAGCGTCCCCATTTAGCAAGAACTTCCGGTCGAAGCGCACCCAAAACATGTCTTCCTTGGGCGCGCGGAGGTTAACGAACCAGAAGCTGTAGGGCTCCCTGGTGGCCTCCTCGTACATGGCGTAGAGGGTTTCTTTCGGGAGCATGGCAGAGAGCTCCTCCACCAAGGCATCCAGCTCCAGTTGGTTTCGCAACCGGAAGACGCAGTAGAACATCACGTTGACCCGCACGGCGGAGCTCATAAGACGCAGCTTCTGGGTCGAGACCCAGGTGTTGATGCAAAAATGTCTGCCCCTGATGAACAGAGTGTCCAAAACGCCATCTCCCGTCTTGCGGTGCACAGCTGGATTATCGGCATGATCATCCAAAACTACCAAGACCGAGTACAGTTTTTTGAGGCCCAGCTCCTTGCTCTTCTGGGTGATGCGCTTCTGGTCCGCGATGATCTTCCGCAGCGCCCCCTCGTCCCAATCCTCCCACCAGCACTGCTCCCGGTCCGTATTCACGCCCAGCTCGTCTCGGATGTAATCCTTGACAGGCTGCCAGGCAGAGTCGACCTCCACCGAGGGCGAGAAGATATAGATGCGCTCGAAGCAGCCCCGGTATTGCTCCAAAATCATGCTCACAAGGAGTACCGTCTTTCCGCTTGCAGATGGAGCACACAAAATACCGTTGGCGGGGGGCTTGCAAACCACGGGGTCAGGCGGCTGCTTGACGGAGTACTCAGGCGTCTTGAAGAGACGCACCTTGCCCATTTAACCCAAGTGTTGCGCTCGCGGCGATCTCGTCGCACAGCGCAGGCGGGATGGAGTAGAGCTGGTCCCGCGAGTTGCTCCCCTGCCGCCCCTTGGTGGGCCCTCGCTGCGCGGCCTCTGGGTGACAAGTTCCTTGGAAGGCCTCGCAGCGGTCGCCCTTGCGGCAGGGCCCCTGGGAGGGGGTCCAGGGCAAGTTGTGCCAGATGGCCGTGGGCTTCTTGTAGCGGAAGCCGTACTTGCAGTACGTGACCCGGTCCATGTGCAGCCCTTGCATGTAGGGGCGGGTTTTGAGGCGCCCGGTGCTCGGGTTCTCGATGGCCCACCACCGAGGCTTGAGGTAGTCTATGACCTCCAGGGTCTTGAGCACCAGGGCATCTCCGAGCGGCAGGTTGCGGGGGCGCTTCTTGAGTGCGATGCTGAACTCGGTGCAACAGGGCGAGGCCCACACCATGTCGAAGTGCCCGGGCTCGAAGGCCTTGTAGTCCCATTGCAGGATGTCGGAGCAGATGGTTGGGCTGGCTTTTGGGTTGTTGTCAAGACTCGTTACCTCCCAGCCACGGGCCTCGAAGGCACGTCCGACCGACCCCGTGCCGCTGAAGAGTTCCAGGAGTCTCATTTGTTGAAGGAAAAGAAAAGGCCCACAGGACCAGCAAGCACGCCAGCAGGGCCACCACGCACTCCGCGGTGGCGACGGTGGCCGGCATTTTTTTTCTTGTCGTGAAAAAAGAAGGAGCGATGGAGCCCAAAACGGTACTCAAGCTCGGTGAGCTTACGACCAACCAGCGTGGCGGCAAGTTCTTCCCGGTGTGCGCGGAGGCCTGGCGGTCCCACGAGTGGCTGCGCATCTTGTGGCACCCCAGCCCCTACGGCAGCGAGACGGAAGCCCGGCGACTCCCCCTGTGTCTCGAGCAGAACGAGGCTGCCAAGGCAGACCTGCAGGCGATCGAGAAGGACATCAAGGGCCAGCTGACCCAGCGATGCCTCCACGACTCGAAAATCTTCGGCCGCTACCTCACCGCGTCGGACGTGGAGGGTCGCTTCGTGTCCTGCCTCAAGACCTCCTCCCGCGGGAACAGCTTCATCAAGCTCAAGGTCGATTTGTCCCGAGTCCACTTCTGGGACGCTGACCAGCAGCCGCTGGAGGACCCTGGTGACCTGGCCGGTCGGGAATGCAAGGTGCGCGCAGATTTGCGCCAGGTATGGCTCATGTCGGGCCAGTGCGGGCTTCTGATGGAAGTGACGGACCTGCAGCTGAGAGAGGCCGAAGCCCCGGCCTTTCAGTGTCCGTTCTAGAGCACGCAAGCTCGCTGCTGGTGGCCCTGCTGCTCCCCACATAGAGGTGCTTGAGGGTGAAGTGCGGGCTCTCGGTGTCGCACAGGAAGACCCGCCCTTCGAGCGTCAGGCCTTGACACGAGGCGTAGGTGATGGCGTGGCACAGCCGGGTGTGTTTCAGGAGGGCGGCGTGGGTGAAGGAGTCGCCGCCGTCCAAGACGATCTTCTCGGGGCCCACTTCTGCCACATGCACGTAGATGCCTTTGGTCACGCGGCCGCCGACGCCGATGAGCTTCAGGCCGGGCCAGACCCGCATGGTCTGCGGCATGTTGGTGGTCGTCGGGCCAGTGCCGGTGTACTCGATCGTCACAGCTTCCGGCGGGGCCAGGCGACGGTTGTCCCGCGCATTGATCCTGATGCGGTGGGCGTGGGAGATGACCAGGCTGACATCGGGCTCGCCTTGCCGCGGAAACCTTTCCCGGGCCGCCCGGACCGCTTCCGGCAGGGACTGCTCCCGGGGCTCGTCGACCCGGAGCCACCGGAGGAAGTCGAAGATGCCCGGGTCGCTCCTCCTGTTCTCGGTGAGCTCGTGGTGCCAGCCGTCGGTGAGGTCGTGGAGCAGCTGGCAGTGCTTGAGCTCCCGCTGCACCGGGGTGCCCGCGAAGTTGTCCATGACGGCGGGGAACTGGCGGAAGTCGCCGAGCAGCAGGAACTTGACCTTGCGGTTCATGGAGACGCAGGTGACGTCGTTCCACAGCCCCGTGTCGAGCTGCGTAATCTCCTCCACCACCAGCCAGTCGATGTTGCAGTAGCCGTTCCGGACGGTGCTCCGCACCCAGTGGTCGGCCGTCTCCGCCTGCATTCCAAAGTTCTGCACGGAGGAGTGGGTCTTCGTGATGATCTTCACCTTGTACCCTTCTTCCCGGAGGGCGGTCACGATCTGGCGCGCCAGGTGGGTCTTCCCGGTGCCCGGGTAGCCGGTCAGCAGCAGGCTCCCGCCCTCGAGGCAGTGGAGCACAGGGTCCTCCGCGACCTTCCAGGTGTCAATGTTGCACATCCACTCCGCCTCGATTCGGGGGATCCGATACTGGCCTTCGAGGCCCTTGACCTCCTCGCATCGGTACACGGGCGTGCCGTCGGGATGCCTTTCGCGGACCAGGCTGTCCACAAGGCCCTGGAACTTTTTGGGCAGGTCCTGGAAGACGACGCAGTCCGTTTTGACGGCCTTCAGGTACCTCGACGGCACGGTTGCGAGTGCATCCCGGATTCTGGAGACGGCGACGTACTCCGAGGCCATCACGAAGTCGTGCACAGGCCGGCAGCTCCGGTTGGACAACAACTGGGTCACGTAGATGTGATCCCAGTGCATCCCGCCCGCGGCGTCCAGGAACAGCTCCCGGTGCTGGCACCCGGACCCGTCGAACTGGTGGTTGCTGGTGCGCATGGTGTAGATGAGGTTCATGTTGCGTGCCCACAGCCCGATGAGGGCATTCACCGACAGCTTCGCGTAGTGCTCCTCTCCCTCCGGCCAAGCCGCCTCCATTTTCTGCAGGGCCTGGGCCACGGACTCCTGGTCCACGTGCGCCGTGGCGTCCAGGCTGTACACGAAGTCGCTCCATGTCGCAAGGCCCTTTTCCAGCATATAGGCCACCGCAGGCTTGGCGTACCAGCCCTGGCCCACGTAGGGGAGCTGCTTGAACGCCGCCCAACGCCCGTCCTCCCGGAGCCTCACGTAGGTCAGGTCCGCCAGGTGCCCTTCGCGGGCTTGCTCCACGTTGTCCTTGGGGCAGAAGATGGGTGCGGGGAACTTGGCATGGGCCAGACCGTTCTTGCGGCACCGCGCCACGTCTATACCGTGGCAGATGTGGTCCGGCTTGTGGCTGTTGAGCTTGAAGACGAGCGGCGGGAGTCGAGGCGATTCCACGTACTGCTCGTAAGCCCGCCGGCTGAAGCGCGACTCCAGTGTCGTGGCGTGCGAGGACTCCAGGGCCGTTTTGTTCCGGTGGCACTCCACAGTGCCTGGAGGTTCTGGGCCTGTGCAGCGAAGGACTGGTGCACGGGGACGATGTGGTCCAACTCGCACGTGGTTGCGGTGATGGGGGCCGCGCAGAGCTTGCACTGGTGGTCCTGCTCCGCGAGCAGGGCTTGCCGAGATCCGGGCGGATCGCGGCGGGCCTTGAGAAGGTGAAGGAAGACCTCGCTCGCGGCGCCCGCCAGACGCTGCCCGCAATAGGGGAGCCCCAGCCGCCCCATCCAGGCCTGCAGCACATCCAGGTCTTCGTGGAAGGCGGAGATGACGCAGTCCTCGCCGCCCCGCACCCTCAGCCGCAGGCACCGCCACTCGCTCATGCTTCGCATGACCACCTTCGGGCAGTGCCCCTCGGCCAGGAGCTCCCTCCGGACCTGCTCCAGGTCTTCAGTGTAGAAATGACCGCTGGCGACCTCGCCCTCCCACTCCCGCCAATCCTTGAACTCGGGCGTTTCGCCTGGCTTCCTCTCGCCCCGGTACCTGGCCCGCTCCCCGATCGGCTCGCACTTCGCGACGGTGCGGGCGGATTTGTAGAAGAAGGCGTGGCAGTTCCAGCTCGTGAAGGCCACGGCCCGCTGCTCCTTGACGGTAGGCTCGTACTTGTCCAGCAGGCGGCCCTGGCAGTCCACGTAGAACATCGGGGCCTGGCGCCAAAGGCAGAATTCCCGGATCTCTCGGGGGGTGATGCCCTGCTCCCGCCACGTTTTTTGGTGCAGATTGCGTCGAAGTCCGAAAGCACCTCCTGCAGCGGCAGCCGCATCAGCTCCGCGAGCTGCCGAGGGACGCAAAGCTTGTCCGGCCGCTGTTCGAAGGCGGACTCTAGGATTTCGTCGCCGCAGTACAGCTGGTAGGAGACGTCCCGCAGAGCCCCAGGGGCTGATCCAGGACGGTCTCCACCACCACCCGGTCGTCTACGACCTGCATGGCCTGCTGGCTGAAGGTCCACTCCCTCGTTGCGTCCAGGTAGTAGGTCTCGTCGGACAGCTCCCAAATAATGTCGTTCGGCTCGGGGTTCCCGAGCTGCGCGAGCGCGGACGCCTTGAGGTTCCGGGCCGCTTGGGCATCCGAGAGCCCCTCGCTCTGCCGGGGCAGTGTGACGTTGAGGTCCGTGACGGGCAGGCGCTTCGTGCGCTCGTAGGGCATGCCGCGGTTCCGGCCGTTTCGCCGGATGCCGCGGATGATGACGGGCACGTGCACCACCCAGTCCACCCACTTGTCCTTGAAGAAGCTCTTCCATGATGTAATCGTTCGGGCCCTCGCGGATGAGGGGTTGGTTGCGGTCGTACTGCCGGCTGGGGGGCGGCCGGTCGATCAGTTGGTAGTAATACTGGCCGGCCCTCGTGAGCTCGCCGTTCGGGCGGCTGAGCATCGCGTAGCGGAGGTGGTGGTGTGTCAAAGGAAGGGTTTCTGAGCCTGCCGCCGAGGTCCTCGCCCTGACCCCGGCCTCGGCTGCAATTCTAATCGCTTCTCGTTGTTGAGCCCAGCTCATGACTTTTGAAAACCCCGGCCGGAAAAAAGGTCGTCGCCCGAGCGGGCCCCCCTTCGCCGGTCGAGTTTCCAGGAGTTCGCATCCATAGGTACTGGCGAGGGCATGAAAGAACGCCTTTTCGCCGGTCGACCTAAAAATCACTGCTTCAGGGCGAAACGTTGGCATTTTTTGTTTTGCATGTTCTTGCTGGATCTTCGCATGATTTTGGCATGACTTTGCGCATTTTTTGCTAGAGTGCTTGGGCCGCGCTCGCTCCTCGAAGCGCCAGCAATCGACAACATACCGTGCTAGTCCTAATCATATGCCAACTAAAGACCTTCCTTCAGCACCTGTGGTCGCAACAGCAGCAGGCAAAGCCAGCAACACTTCTAAGGAAGACAGCAGACACACACACAGGGTCCTGACACAGGGCCGAACGCCGGGCGCACAGAGGTTCAGGAGGTGTTTGGGAAGGTGTTTGGGGGGTTCTGAGGCTGCGAGGTCTGGAAGTGTTGTGCGTCGCTGTGCTGCAAGGCTTCAGGGTTTAGGGTTGGCAGGTGTGAGGCAGTGAGGTCGCCTGAGTGCCCGGGAATTTCGGGCCCCCCTCCTGTGATCAGGTGCTCCTCGTCTCCACTGCTGGCAGCCGGGCTCCGCAGAGGCTTCAGGGTCGGTAGGGTTTCGGGTTGCAGGCTATTGTGGGCTCCGATGCAGTGAGGTTTAGTTCGGCGTGCTGTCTGCCCTTCCTCCCCTCCCCGCTGTAACTCTAGAGTGCCCTGCGTCTCCCCCGCCCCTCCCGGGAACCCCGGGCCCTCTCCTGCGACCAGGTGCGCATCGTGACCCGGCTACTCTTCAACATCTTCGCGCAGCGTGGCAGGCGGGTTTCGGCAAGAGGGGTTCAGGGTTGTCTTGGCGCCTTTTTTTGCTTGTGTGAGCCTTGCGCCGCCCTCCCTCCCACCCCCTTCCCCCCGTAAGCTAAAGTGTGGTGCTCCTCCCCTGTTGTGGGCAGGTGTTCACTTCCTCGCGGCCATCTTCAAATTTTGGGAGGTCCAGCGCTCTGAGTGTGAACCAGACGTGTCTCTGTGGAGATTGCGACTTTTGGGCAATTTTTGAGGTTGGGAGGACCCGGGCAAGGCAAAAATGGCCAATTTGCTGGTCGGGGAGCTCGGCGTGAAAACGTGATTCTGGGAGGCCGGGAAGGCCAACGTGAAAAAGTGAAAACGTGAATCTGGGAGGCGGAGAAGGCCAACGTGAAAAAGTGAAAACGTGAATCTGGGAGGCCGGGAAGGCCAACGTGAAAACGTGAAAACGTGAATCTGGGAGGCCGGGAAGGCCAACGTGAAAACGTGAAAACGTGAATCTGGGAGGCCGGGAAGGCCAACGTGAAAACGTGAAAACGTGAATCTGGGAGGCCGGGAAGGCCAACGTGAAAACGTGAAAACGTGAATCTGGGAGGCCGGGAAGGCCAACGTGAAAACGTGAAAACGTGAAAACGTGAATCTGGGAGGCCGGGAAGGCCAACGTGAAAACGTGAAAACGTGAATCTGGGAGGCCGGGAAGGCCAACGTGAAAACGTGAAAACGTGAATCTGGGAGGCCGGGAAGGCCAACGTGAAAACGTGAAAGCGTGAATCTGGGAGGCTGGGAGGCCGGGAAGGCCAGCGTGAAAACGTGAATTCGTGAATTTGGGCGATTTTGGCGCGAAAAATGGCAAAAAATGACAGGAAAAGAGGCAGATTCACATTTTCACGTTTTCACGTCCGGGACGGGGAGGGCAGGATTCACGTTTTCACGTTTTCACGTCCGGGACGGGGAGGGCAGGATTCACATTTTCACGTTTTCACGCCAGGGGGGGGAGAGGCAGATTCACATTTTCACGTTTTCACGTCCGGGACGGGGAGGGCAGGATTCACGTTTTCACGTTTTCACGTCCGGGACGGGGAGGGCAGGATTCACATTTTCACGTTTTCACGTCCGGGGGGGGAGGGCGGGATTCACATTTTCACGTTTTCACGTCCGGGAGGTGAGGGCGGGATTCACATTCTCACGTTGTCACGTCCCGGGGGGGAGGGCAGGATTCACATTTTCACGTTTTCACCTCCGGGTAGGGGCAGGGCGGGATTCACATTTTCACGTTTTCACGTCCGGGGGGGAGGGCGGGATTCACATTTTCACGTTTTCACGTCCGGGGGGGGAGGGCGGGATTCACATTTTCACGTTTTCACGTCCGGTGCGGGGAGGGCAGGATTCACATTTTCACGTTTTCACCTCCGGGTAGTGGGAGGGCGGGATTCACATTTTCACGTCCGGGAGAGGGGGCATTTGGAAGTCTGCGTTCGTGTTGCAAGCAGGGTGTGGGTCCATGAGCTGTTTTTGCGTGCAAGGTCTGGGCGAGTTGGCTTCGAGGCGCACATGCCAGCTCTTTCTTGCAAGCGTGTGTGCCGGACAAGCTTGGGTGCTTTGTGCAAGGGGCTTGTGTGTCAGATTCGATTTCGGCTGGAGCGAAGCTGGGTGCCACCATGGAGGCCTTTGCACCCGGAGCCACGGTGATCCACTCCGTTAGCCAGAAAGTGCACAAAGTTGGCGATGACCGCCGGCTGCTGTGCCGAGCCCGTGTTGCCGAGCAGATGCTGCGTCTCTTGGAAGTCGCGAGGCCGGAGGACGACCTTTGCCAAAAATGCTTCCGGGAGCCGTGCAGGTCCCGGAGACCATGTCCAGCTCGGAGGAGACAGCAATGGAGCCGGTCCAGGAGGAGGAGCCGAACAGCCGATCGCCAGCCTCTTTCCAAAGCTCCCGCTCGCGGTGCAGCTCTTTCGCCAACACGTCAGGAGCCACTTCCTGGAGGAGCCGGGTACGAGCGGGTACGAGGTGTCCAACTTGAGCAGCAGCGGCGTGGGCCGAATCCCCGTGTGCCACCCGTCTCCTTCGGGACCACCTTGCAAGGGCTTGGCCGTTCCTACAGCGGCATAGTGCTCAAGCCCGCCGAGCCGACAGAGCCCGGGAAGAAGCGGGCGAAGACCGAGCCCGTGCCTTGGGGAGTCTTGCCAGCAATGGTGCGCGCTGAGTTGCAGCGGGGCATTCCGATCCATCTCGCCGGCAAGAGTGTGGCGGCTCTTTCACCGACGACTCGAGCCGTCGCCCAGACCGGCATCGCGGAACATGAGGTCAACGTGGTGCGCCCGGAGTTCACCATCGGCAAGGCCATGTTTTCGCACCAAAAGCTGGGCGAGCTGCCGAAGCAGGTCCCGGCCTTCCTGATCAGCCGCTCAGACACGCTTGCCCAGACCGTTACGGATCGGCCCTGCGTGAAATTTGTAAGACTGCCTTGATTTGTCGACATGATGCCGTCCGTGACAACGTCTTCGTGGCCCCCTAAACCCCAAACCCAAAAGCCAGCTTGTCTCGAAGCCGGTTCGCCCCAGGCCTCGGGCACACACACAAACATAGCTCCGTGTCAACCCCTCCTGAAGTCTTGCTCCGGCTGGCTTGGAGGGATGAGCCAGCAGTCAAACTGAAACAGGTGGAGCTTGACCATTCGTTCATGCAGATTGCCTTTTGCTCGAGCCAGAGGACAGCTAGGACCAGCAGGACGACTGCCGCCATGAGCAGGCCTCCAGCAACATCGCGCAAGGTCGGGCGCGTGGTGGTGCTACTGGCGCTGTTCCTGGTGTGTTTGCCAGAGCCTAAGACCAGCGCATTGAACAGCGTTAGAAGTGTTCCCGAGCAGCTTCAGGCGAGCAACGCGGACGGCGCGGGCTTTGCTTGGAGCGGGGGCCGTGCCGTTTTCGAGGTGGGATGTGATGTATGGCATGGAGTGCCGAAGATGCGCAAGCCAGAGCGAGGTCGGTTACTGCGGGAATATGGGCACACAACTTTCGCGTCGCACGCAGGGCTAAGGCGGGGAGCCGAGACCGAGAGGAAATTCTGTATTAAGCTTATGTCCTGAAGAGCTGAGACTGATGGCACTTTGGGCCGTGGTAAGGCCGAAGACCATGAAGACGTCAAGGCGAAAAGGGTTTGTCGTTTCGGCGTGGCGTTCCTTGTGCTGTTCTGATGGCATTTCCTTCGCTCCTGCCAGAGTGTCATTTTCTGACCAGGG